TCAAGGCTAAGCCTAAAACTGAGAAGCCTAAATAACGACCCATCTTATTCCTTAGGCCTTGGAGTTCGTTTTATTATTATGGTATCAACAATGGAAGCTCGCAACTCTAGTATAGAAGCTTAAACAATCTTACACAATGCGTTACCAATTACTATTTCCTTAGGGTTCCTATTAGTTACGGTATCTGTACCCCAAAACGTTGATTGAATTGTTAAGGTCCCCGGTATCATAGAGCCCTTTGCTGGATCCTTTATAGAACCCTGTAAAGCACTCTACAGGAACCTTATTTTCGCTGCTTGACACCTGGTCAGGCGCACTTCTGGGACCAAACGCAGCACTGAGCTAGAAAAAGCTTCAAAAGCTTCGAACCTGTCACAGCCCGATGAAGCTGCGGTTTAGGGTTTAGGGTTCTGCAAGCTGCGAGCTCTGTAAGAGCTCAACTTTGATACCTCAACCGTGGCTTTCCTGGCAGATGGTTTCAGCATCAACCCGTGGCTGACACAGGGCTTTCGCGAACCTTCGTCAACCGCCTATTGTTGAACACATACGGTTGATGATAGAAATCCTGCATGACCCATGATAAGGAATATACCATAATTCCCTTAGTTTAGGGTCCTTGAGGTAATGCAGGGTTTATATATCATCAACAGTATGTACCAACATTATTCCCTAGGGTTCCTTATTCAAATGTATACAGGAGCCCCAAACCCTATTCTAATATTTTATAAGGCCACTACAGTATGCAGCCAAAGAATATCGTAAACATTTGTTGGATCGGGCAACAAGTTAGGCCCACAGGCCCCGGTTACCCAGCTGGACTACGTAATATATGGTCAACCTACAGTTTAGGCGCTTTAGGGTTTGGGGTAAAGGGTCAACCTGCATTTGGGTAACTGGAGCCCTAGGGAAGTATACCGCAAAACCCTAAACCGTATACGTGCATGCTTTCGGACATCAAACTTGGGTCTCCATAGACGCTGGGCATATGGGCAGTTCTCTTATTTAGGGTCCTTTTCTAGGTCGCCAATGTATTATGGCACCCTTTCATAAAGGATCCGAAAAGGACCAGAATGTGGAAAACCCATACACACGAGCTCTAAACTCTGAATCTAGTGTCTTGCATTTCCCGTCTATGCAATGGCGGTACATGCTGTTGAAGCATGGGTGCACACATACAGATATGCCAACATGTCAGCCTACTGCATAGGTAACTGCCCAACAATGACATAGTTTCAGACGAAAGAATTAAATGCTGGAAACCAAACCCTAAGCTCGAAGCCGCATACCCTAAGAACCCTAAACCCGAAACCCACAACCCCTGGCCCAAACCGCATAGACCCCTAAATCCTCAAGCCCCCTAAGTCCAAACCCAAAGCCCTAAACCCCAGCACAGACCTTCAAATCCGAAACGCAAAATTCTAAACCCTAAGCCCTAAACCCAAGCATAGACCCTCAAAAACCCTCAAATCTACTTTAACCCCAGCGTTGGCCACGGGCTTCGGAGAAGTGTCTTCGCGGAAAAAGAAGGGCCGGGCTCGATTTGAGCAGTGGATTTCGGGTTTTAGTGTTTCGGGTTTTAGGGTTTAGGGTTTCGGGGTTTAAGGTTTAGAGCTTGAAAGTTTTAAGGTTCAGAGTTTTAGGGTTTAGGGCTTCGGGCTTTAAGGTTTAGAGTTTTAGGGGTTATAGGGTTTAGGGGTTTTGCAACGAGGGCTCTTTGTGTTCAGGAGTTGCGGATTGACGTCGTGGCTGTAGGAACCTCAAGAGTCCTACATGACCCACATATTGCCCAAAGGGTCCTAAGTACCTATATGGCAGAATGTAGGGTTTCTATAGTAGGAATTACTATTATGATTTGGGGAAGTATTCCCCATAACAGTACCTAGGACCCTTTGGGTTGTCGGGTCTTGGGTTTACCTAGACCCTTAAATGTAGTACCTTTTTTTTGGTTACCCTAGTTTCTTATTATAGGATCCTAACCATAGAATAGGTCATCCAATAAAAGGTACTACATTTAAGGGTCTTGGGTTTAGGGTTTAGGGCATTATTGCCGGCCTGACAAGCGTCTTCTAGTTACTAAGGCCCGCATGTTTTCATGATTTGCTGTCTACTTGTGGAGGGCATTTGCATTTGAGCCGCTCGCCTGACCAAGAACATCAAGGTTGGTGGCTCTCGCGCCATCGTAGCTGAAGAGTTGTCGGCGCAAGAAGGTGGTACTAGCGTCTAGTTATTAGAGGGTTTAGGGTTTAGGTTTGAGGGAGGCAAGTAAACACAAACCCCCCCCACAAAGCCTTGTGCAACCTGGTCGATCGATCGTGTAATGCTACTGAAAGACCTGATCCCGACTTCGTCCAGTGCCCCCACATTTGCAGGGACGCCTTCGCAGCGAGCTTCAACCGGCTTTCCCGGGAGCTAGGCTGGGCCGGCTATGGATTCGGGGTGTTACAGTCTTGTTCTGAACTTCTACTTCGTCCTAAAAGGAATCTCTGAACCCCCGACCCTGAAGCCCTGCTTGTTCATTCAGAGTGTAAGTTTCGGTTCTTGACGCAATTTACTGTGACTTGGCGCTGTCCGGGATCCAGAGCTTAGGCGGTTTTGAGGCAAAGGTTTACCCAGAGAACCCAATACCCCTTAATTAAGGGATATACCTTTATTCATACTAATAATGCCCCTATAATTTAAGGTATCTTCCTTAATTAAGGGGTATTGGGCTCTCTGGTTTACTGAGTTGGAGATCCACGCAAGAAGGTGGATTCGAGACAGCTAGGAGTCACTCCAATGCCTGCGATCTCTTCGAAGAGACTACGACTACGCTCGAATGTCGCAGTCAACCCTAAACCCTAAAACCAAAAACCCTAAACCCTAAAGCTCTAAACCCTAAAACCCTAAAGCCTAAGACCCTAAAGCCTAAACCCTAAAACCCTTAAGCCTGAACCCTAAACCCTGAACCCAAAGAGACGCCATGCACGCCTTTCGAACCGTGCTGGTTCGAACCTGACCCCGCGAGCCCCCACTCGTCGCAATGTTTGTGGCCTACTTTTTTAGGGTTGAGGGTTTATCGTTTAGGGTTTAGGGTCTCTAAACCCTAAACCCTAAATCGTTTAGCAGAAAACCTGTCGACGAAGTGTTTCGAAAACGTTTTCGTACCTGATCAAGTCCTTTTCCACACTGCCCAGGCCCACCGAAACCCAAACCCGACACACCGAAGCCTAAACCCTAAACCCCGAAATAGCCCCAAGCCCTTTAAGGAACCCTAAACGGTATATTCCTGAATTAAGCAATTTTGCAAGGATTTTAGAAGGCCAGCCCGAAGCTGTTCCATGGCTGGGGTTCATCCCTAAAGCTCCTCATTCCTAGAGTCGGGTTTAGGTTTGGGGTTTAAGGTTCGGGGTTTAGGGTTGTTTTGGGTTTAGGGTTTAGGGTTCAGGGTTCTGGGTTTAGGGTTTAGGGTTCAGGGTCCTAGCGGGTCATACCATCCGCCTGTTTCAGGGTACCTAGTTTTCTGGTTAAAATCTGTTCTAGTGGAAGAGTCGAGGTACTTAAGCAGGGGTAGGGTTTGACCCTCGAAGCTAGCCACCCTAAGCCCCAAAACCCCACACCCTACCTGGACCCCCAAGTGTCGTTTAACGGAGCCCTTATGGTCCTTAGTCGTGGGTATGTAGGGCACAAAGGAGGCTAGTTGGGGGGGGGGGGGTCTAGGCAAACCCCACAAGCCCTGAGCCCTAGAATTTCAGGCTAGCCTGAGCCTTGTGCGAACCGAAGAGACGCGGCAGGCCAGCGCTGGAGCGAGATCAACATCATGCCGGAACTCCAGGTGCATCTTGGGACTCTAGGACAGGGTATGGGGTTTCGGACCTTAAAAGGGACCCTAATTTAGAGAACTGCCCATGTGTCTATTCCTTCTTGTTCTTGCTCCTCCACAAGCTTGGGGTGTAGGGGGTTCGAGGGTTATGGGTTTTTCAGTTTCTTAGTGCAGGTGCCGGGCACAAAGCTGCAGGTACTCTTGCCGAGGGCCCCTGAGTTTCCTTATACCACAATGTACCCCAAATCCCTGTTCTTCTCTCTCTCTCTCTATATTATATATATATATATATATGATATATAAATGTATATATAACTAACGCCCCCGATGTTATGCACGTTTACCCGAATGATCTTGGAGTGTCTGGGTGAGGTGCTTCGGGCAGTTTAGAACCTCAAGAGACCTGAGTCGCATTGAAGCTCTCCCCAGTTGCCGTCTCTGTTGTATGGAGTTTGGGGTTGAAGGGGGCAGTTTAGAACCTCAAGCATTGAAGCTTTTTCCGGTTTCCGTCTGTCTTGTATGGAGTTTGGGGTTGAAGGTCCTAGGGGGTCTGGTGTCCATGGAGGGATATCGTGATATCGTGCGTGCACCATGTGTTTGGAGTTCCGGAATGTGGCCTGGGATCCGTTGATCAAGTCGCTCCCTTGGACCTGCAGCCAGCCCTAAACCCTAAAACCCTAAACCGTCCAGGCCTTGGTCGAGCACAAGAACTACCTCTACCGGATCTCTGCCATCTTATCTGCACGCGCGTTGTCCGAGGTGGGGAGCTTTGGAAGTTGGGTTTTAGGGTTTAGGGTTTAGGGTTTGGAAGTGGCCTGGGACGGGCTTCTTTGAGAGGCGGCGGCTACTGGCCCCATACAGTAACCGTAGCAGCCTATACTAAGGCTACTATATATTACAAATACTATTCAACTGTTTATATTACAAATATACTATTCAACTGTTATTGGCTTCAACAGCTTCAACACATCCCTTAGTTCAGGGTCCTGAATGTTGCCGGTTAGGTCATCACTTCCATGCATCCTCGTCACTGGAACCTGCTCCCTGCACCTCCTACCCTAAACCCTAAAACCCTGAAACCCTAAACCCTAAACCCTAAACCCTGAAACCCTGAAACCCTAAACCCTAGAAGCATCCGGCGATTGAGTGTCGAAGCCTTCTTTACACCCCAAGCGCCGAAGACTTTCACGGGTGCAGCCAGGTGGTTGGTAGCGATTTCATCGACACCCACCTGGTGCCACTGGTGGGCGGCCTCGGTTCCGGCTTTTTCGACCTTCCGGCTTGCGGCATTCAGGTAGGATGGAGTATGTGTGAGTGTGTGCATGTATGTATGTACCCTGAACCCCAACCCCGTCAACCGATAAGAAACAAGCATCAGTTTGAAGCCTGCAACACCTTTTCAACTAATTATTCATCTAGGACTCCTTCTAAAGCTTCTCACACCTAAACCCCTGTGGATTGCAGAGCTTTTCTATAGAACCCCTAGGCCCTAAAGCCCTAAACCCTATTCAAAAAACCCTAAAAGAGCTTTGAAAGGAACCCCATATTGTACCCTTTTCAAAACTCGTTCAAAGAACCCCTAAAGGAACCCCAAAAGGCCCTATGCTCATAGACTTCTCCAAAATAGTAGGTTATGACCCCTGAATTAGAGGTTAGAACTCAAACGGTAGGTTTTTAGATTCCCAGGCTCTTATTGTAGTTCCCCCTATTCTCATAGACTTCTCTTGTTCATAGACCCTACATCCGAAACCTGCAACCCTAAAACCTTAAACTCTAAACCGTCCCCCGTCTAATTCCCCGAAGCCCCGCTGAGGTCGCGCGGATGGCCAACGACCCGGTCCCCAACGTGCGCTTCAACGCCGCCAAGACGATCAAGGCGCCGCTGAAGTTTGGTTTTTTCGTTTTTTTTTTCGGGAGGGGGGGGGTCTGAGGGCTTTAGGGTTTCAGGGTTTAGGGTTTCAGGGTTTCGGGGTTTAGTATTTAGGGTTCAGGGCTTTAGGGTTCAGGGCTTTAGGGCTTTAGGTTGCAAGGTTATAGGATCATGAGGGCGGCAATCTTGACAGCTTTAGGGTCTTAGGGGTAAGGAGCTGTTGCGTCCTTTTCTCAACGGTCCTACAGTGGCTATTACATGGCTTTTTGAAGATCCTTTACGATTCTTGCTTTTTGAGGGGTTTGATGAGGGTTCTGTAGGGGCTTTATAACTAGAAGCGTTCTGTGCGGGTTTTCATCATGGTTTGGGTTCGGGGTGCTTTGGCTCATATAAGGCTTTGACACCTTGCTGAGCAGAAACGCTCCTCGCATGTCCTTGCTCCGTCCATGTTATGGTTTCTAGAAGCATCGCGAAGAGCTCCATTGAGTTGCCCGTATCCCTTAACCCTAAACCCAATCGAACCTTGTCGCTGCCAAGGCTCAAGAAAAAACGAGCTTTCCGTCAGAGTCCAAGCCAGAACTCGTAAGCAAAGCCTGGGTCTGCAGCCACCGACCCCACAAGGTCCCTAAGGGGCTGAGCAAGTAACCTTTAACATTTTGGGGGTTATGTAATCCTACTATATTTGAAAAGATTAGCTTTTTTTGGGCTAGGGTACTCACCCCACAGGGTCCTTTTGTTCTGCTACCGATATGGAGATGGGCTCCCTAAACCCTGGCACACAAAACCCTAAACCCTAGACCCTAAACCATAAACCCTAAAACACACACACACACATAAAACTAAACCCTAGACCATCCTTGCAGTGGTTTTGGTGACCTAATTCCATCGTAACCTGCAGTGAATATGAGCCGAGTATGCGAGCCTGAACAGCGTTTAGGGGTTTAGGTGTTTCGGGTTTAGGGTTTAGGGGATTTAGGGTTTAGGGGTGTCGGGTTTAGGGTTTCAGGTCGGGGTTTTAGGATTTAGGGGTTCAGGGCTTAGCCTTAATTTAAGGTGTTTAGGGTTTAGGGTTCACCTTGCCGAATCAAGCCCGGAACCCTCGTTTGACCACTTGGGCCCTCGACCAGTGCCAGGCCATGCACGAGGTTTGCATGTGGAGGCCGCAAAACTTCAATGACAAGCGGCGCGGATGCATTCAGCCCTAAGCCCTAAACCCCTAAACCCCCTAAAGCCCTAAACCCTAAACTCCCTAAACCCCCTAAACCCCCTAAACCCCCTAAACTCCCAAAACCCTAAACCCCCGAAACCCCCCTAAACCCCGAATCCCTTTTTCCATCTGAGGTCTTCGGGGGTGCAGGCTCGAAGTTCTAGTTAGGGCCCTAGACCCCTTAGGGATCCAAAAATTAAGGTCCCTGGAAGCATAGGGCAAGATCAGGCATGAGGGCTTTGGGGCGTAGGGGGATTGGCGGTTTTTTTTCGGGCTTGGGTGTACTGATCAGTTCCGCGAGGTTCGGGGTTTAGGACACCAGATCCTAACCCCATCACAAAACCCTAAGCCCGAAACCCTAAACACCCTACCCTAAAGCCCTATACACTCTTAAACCCCTAAGTAAACCCTAAACCCTAATCCCTAAACCCTACACCCTATTATGAACCCTAAACCCTAAACCCTACAATCCCTAAACCCCAACACCATGTTTAACCTGGTGGGCGGTCGACCGAGACCTCTGGCCGCTAGGCTCTTGGAACAAGTCGCTAGGGGAGTTCGGCCCCTTGCCCCGCTACGAGCCCAAGGGACAGGGCAAGGGCTCCCTTCGGGAAGAAGCTATCTGGGCTTTGAGAGAGGCCACCCAGAGCTACTTGAGATCGGGGCCGACGATCGCGCTATGGTCTGCCGCCACCCTGCCGCTAAAGGAGCCAGGGCTGGGTACCTCGCGACGGAGCTCCTGCCACGAGTCTGCTACATGGAGCCGCAGGAGGAGACCGTGCGGACCGCTATCGGCCACTGGGACCCCGAGGATGCTATTTTCCGCTGTGCCGTAGTATGCCCTAACTGCTGCTACCGCGCCTGTAACAGGCGCATGTGGTGGAAGCTAGACGATCACGATCACCACCAGTGTGACGGCTGTAAACCCTAAACCCTAGACCCCTAAACCCCCAAAATCCCTAGACCCTATAAGCCTATAAACCCTACTGCTGTGTTGAAGGCTCGTGCCTTGTCTCTACAAGATGCTTGCCGACGAGGAGCGGCGCTGAGGGTTTAGGGATTTGGGGGGGTTAGGGATTTTGGAGGTTTAGGGTTTAGGGATTTGGGGGGGTTTAGAGTTTAGGGAGTTTTGGGGTTTAGGGTTTAGGGTTGAGGGTTTGCCGGGCTTTTGGTGGGGGGATTGGGGATTTTGCGGTGTGAGGTTTTGGGGATTATAGGTCTGGGGTTTTCGAGCCTAGGCTTCAGGGTCCGAGTTTTGGTAGGCTAGGTAGGCCTTTGGGATATTTTAGATTTTCCCTTATTGGGCTTAAGAGGACCCTATTTACTAATAAGAGGCTTTACAGGGCTAACCAGTAGGGGACCTTGGCAATCAGAAGAGAATCTCTATGGGCCGTGTTCGTAGCTTTTTCATATGTCGTTCAAGGATGTAGAGTGTTTTATATGGGTTTAGGGTTCGGGAGTTTTAGGGAGGTTTGGCAATTAGAAACGGCATTGGGCAGAATTGATGATCGGGTTCATATATTGGGACTACATGGCGATATGACCCCCAGGCAGTGTACTGTTCTGTCTCCGGCCTAAGGGTGGAGAGTGTGTGGGAAGTACTCGAGAGAGCGCTCTGCTAGAGCTGATGGGTTTAGCCCTTTAGCTTATTCTCGATTCAGCGTAAGGATTTAGAAGGTTTAGGATTTGGGTTGGGTTTGTTGTTAGTGGCGGAAAAGCTTCAAGAGCGCAGCAGATGCAGCATCTAAAATTCTTGGAAGTCCGACCCCATCTTTCTTGTACTCGTAGTTCGGCTTCGGAGGGTTGCTTCAAGGCCTGCAAAAGCCACAGCCAATCCCACAAAGTTGCAACATGGAGTCAGGATGAATCCCAGCACTTTACCTTAAGCCTTAAGGGGCAGGGGGGATAGTGATGGTGCAGCTTTCTGGCTTCTACTTTAAAGCTCTAGAAATTGAGGTGTCAAGGTTTGCAGCTCTAGGCTTCAAAAATCGTGAGATGGGCTTAGGCTATGCGACTCGGCCAGATAGAAACACCCGAGAAGACACGCTACGGTTGATGATATGATTTAAATCCTGCATGACCCATAATAAGAAATATATACCAAAATTCCCATTGTCTAGGGCCCTTAAGGTAATGCAGGAGTCATATCATCAACCATATCCTGCAGGACCCTGATGTCAAGTTCTTCGCTCAGAAGGCTACAGACGTTTTTTCCTTTCCTGATGGCCATTCTTCGCTTTGGGGTGTTTTAATGAAGGTGGTGCTATGTCGGGTTTGTGTTTCCTGTTTAGGTACGTCACATTCTTGATGTCTACAGTTCAACATGTTGAGGTTTAGAATTTCAGGGGTTTGGAGACGCTAAACCCTAAACCTTAAAGCCTTAAACCCTATTAACCATAAAACCTTAAACCCTAAACCCCAAGCCCTAAACCTTAAACCCTAAACACTAAACCTTAAACCCTAAACCTGAAACTCTAAACCCCAAACCGTAAACCCTAAACCCCATGTCTTTGCGTGTCACACCCCGAGAAGCCTAACTCCTGAACTGCCGACTTTTTGTATCCAGGGCTTACGGGGTCTCAGGCTTAGGGTTTAGATATTAGGGTTTAGGATTTAGGGTTTAGATATTAGGGTTTAGGATTTAGGGTTTAGATATTAGGGTTTAGGATTTAGGGTTTAGGGTTTCGGATTTAGGGTTTAGGAATTAGGATCCAGGGTTTAGGGTTCAGGGGTTTCTGCGTCGAAAGGGAGGAGGTGCAGTCAGATTTCTCGTCCACCCCAAACCCGGAACCGTAATCCCCGAACCCTACCAGCAGCCCCGTCCCCCAATGCCTCCACGGGTGGCCCTTTGCGGACCCTGCTGAGCCTCCCAGCCCACTTTCTGCACGTCGGATGCAGTGGCCGCGAGAATCCCAGAGACCTTCGCGGCCTACCCCAGAAGCCTTCGACCCATCGCCTATCGAGATTTCAGCAGCCTTCAGACCTAGTACACGGTCGCAGTGGGGAAGTCATACATCACCCAGCGGAGCCAATTGAGCTGGACATGCCTTGCCTAGCCCCCGGAGTTCCGTCCAGACGGTAGGCCCTGAACCCCCAAACTTTATAAGTCCTGAACCGTGAACCTGGGCCCTGACCCTTTGTTGTTTCAATGCTTTGGCCTCAAAGTAGGAGGGCAGTTCTCTAAAGTAGGGTCCCGTTTAGGATGTTTTTTTTATAAGGATGCCGGACTAGTATTGCGGGGGCCCAGATTGCTCCCATGAGGAGCCCAGGCCCAAATCTCTGTCGATTTGAACCTTAAACCCTAAACCTTAGTAGCTGAGTAGGTAACCTTTAGCCTTTTTGGGCTGATATATTCCTACCATAATTGAAAGGTTAGCTGTTTTTGGGCTAGGGTACTCAGCCCCTAAGAAACCCTAAACTCTACAGTCGGTCGGCTGCGTTTTAGGATTAGGTTGAGGATGAAAGGCTTCCGGGCTCCCGTGTTTAGAACTATAGTTTTATTTTTGTGATGTTTGGGGGTTTAGGGTTTAGGACTATAGGATTTAGCACTCTCGGGATTCAGGGTCTAGCGTAGGGCTCAGAGTTATGGGGTTTAGAGTTGCGAAGGAAGTGATGAGGTTGGACCAACCCTGACTCTGGAAAGCTGTGTGCCCCCAGCCAGGACACCCAGAATCTATCTCAAATGGGTAGTTTTCTAAACTAGGGTCCCTGTAAGGGTCCCATCTATACGGGTGCCCGTACTATATTTGGGTCTAAAGAGGTGCCCCAATTTAGAGAACTACCCAAATCTGCCCTGCAAGCCCTGGTGGCCTAGGTCCTTGGGGTTTTCGGAACACTAAAAATCCCCTAAAGCCCCGAACCCTAAATATCATAAAAACCTTTGGTCCTAAACCCTAAAAACCCTAAAAACCCTAAAAACCTATAGTCCTAAAGCCCCAAATGGCCTGAAGAGCCTGAGCCATACAATCCGAAACCTACGGCCGTAAGGCTTCAGAGGTTCAGGTCCTGTCGTGTCGGCTCGAAAGGGCTTCGGGTGACTTTAGGGTCTTAGGGTCTTAGGGTTTATAGGGTTTATAGGGTTTATAGGGCTTATAGGTTTTAGGGTTTAGGGTTTAGGGTTTTAGGGTCTTAGGGTTTATAGGGCTTATAGGGCTTATAGGGTTTTAGGGCTTCGGGTCACGTAAGGGTTTAAGAGTCTTAGGGTTTATGGGGTGAACAGGGTTTACGGGGTTTGAGGGTTTAGGGTCTTAGGGTTTTATAGGGCTTATAGGATTTTAGGGTTTCTTGCTTTAGAGCCTTAGCGTCTTTGGGTTTATAGGGATTTAGGGTTGTAGGGTTTAGGGTCTTAGGATCTATTAGGGTCTCAGGATTTATAGGGTTTTCGGCTCTTCGGCTTTAGGGTTTAGGGTCACGTTGCGTCCAGGCAATCTCGGAAGTCGGTGCAAGCTGAGATTCGCGAGAGCCTGCTGACAATTCGAGTGGGGTTCATATGGTGGGGGAATAGTCTCACAAGTTGGGCAGAGCTATGGGAAGTCCCTGTGAGAAGCATCCTACTTATTATTTCGGGCTTCTGTCACAGCTTTAGGTTTGGGGGTTTTTAGCTCAAGCCAAGCAAGACAGGAGACCGAGCGCCCACATCCTGAAGCCTCAGCTCTCAGACACACTTCATGACCGGGTAGACCCCAAAGCCGTCAAACCCCAAATACAGAATCCTAAACCCTTAAACTTAATCTCAACAACCTTCAGTCCTAAATCCTTTTTAAATTTTCAAAAGTCTTAAAAATTTCAATGAACTCCTAAATCATATAAAGTCCTAAGCCTTCAATGAACTCCTCAACCCTGACATGCTAGACCCTGCAACCTCGGCGTGGGGCGTTCGAGGTTCGAAACCTCAGCACTCTCATAGCCACTGACGCGCGGATGTGCGGAAGTCAAAGGGGCCCTCGGGTTTCAGGGTTTCGGGGATTCTAAGCTTTGGAGGTTTCCGGGTTGACCGTGGCTCCGCCGCTAGGGCTCATGATGTCTGGGGTTTAGGGTTTAGGGGTTTAGGGTTTAGGGGTTTAGGGTTTACGGTTTAGGGTTTTAGGACAGTTTAGGGTGCAGGGTGTAGGGTCTGGAGCTTAACTAACTTTCGGCACGTAGCTTCAAGCTGGCTGAGGTTGGGATGGGGGTGCAGGGACATCTAGCTGGGTTTTGGAGTACCATACTGTAATGCTTTGTTTGGGGGGATCGGTTCCTTAAAGGGCCCAAATTGCGACATGGAGCTGATACCCTAAACCCGAAACCCTAAGTTAAGCCCTAAACCCTACACCCCTAAACCCCTAAACCCAATGTCGTGGTCACTTCAAAGCCCGGTGAGGTCTCGTCAGAGTTGCGCAGCTTGCTGTTAAGTTAGACCTCCTATGCCTTGGAAGCCTTATGGAAGGTTGGGAGCCTAAACCCTTAACCCTAAACCCCTAAACCCGAAACCCCTAAACCCCTAAACCCTTAAACCCCTAAGCCCTATGCCCTGGAAGCCTGTTGAAGGGTCGGGCTCAGGAGAGCCGGGTCTGCCCTAAACCCCCCGAGCCCCGAGATCCAAACCCCGAAGCCCTAAACCCCTAAACCCTCTAGGGCCTCTATTGTTTAGGGGTTTAGGGCTTTAGTGGATGTCTGTGTTTCCCAAGCTTGGGGCCCTTTACAGGGGTTTTGCTGGATTCTTATGAGGCCGCTGTAGGGTTCCTTAAGGTTCCAGGCTGTGGCTTAGAGTCTAAGTTCTCATAGGCTTTTGAATCGTGTCATGAGGCCCTCATAGGGTTTTGTTTTAGGGGTTCCAGGCTTTCGCTTTAGGCTGCTTATCGGGTTCCTTACAGGTTCTATGAGGTTCTGCCCTAGTGCGGGCTGCCGACAGGTTTAGGGGTTCAGGGTTTCGGGTATGGACGTTGCGAAGGGAGGCCTCTTTTTGAAGTCTTCTCTCAGCCTCTCTTGCTTTCGGAAGAAGCTCAAGGAAGATGCACCCGGGCCCCAAGCCCCAAACGTATGAAATTCCCTAAACCCC